ATGATAATTTAATGTGATTATCGATGGTTTGTTATTTTAACGATTAGTGTGGTAATAATTGATTATTGTACAATTATAGAATTTAAGATCGTTTATTGCAATAACAAACACGTTTACATGTTTGTTCATAGCTGTAATTTGATATTAAGCTGATACTTACCAATATGATTACTTTAAGTCTGCATTTATCAGTAGAAGTTGTTTTTAATCTGCAGTCGTATCATATTCTCATAAACATTTGTCAGTAGAAATTGTTTTTAATCTGTAGAAGAAGGCAATACTCCATGATACTATACATAGCATTGTCATAATACTGTTGGGTCGATACAGGTTGCAATGTAAGAGTCGTTTAAAATGATTAAATAGAGGGGATTAACCCGAACCAAAAATATTATTTACAACATTCCTAATGACATAAACGGAATTCTTGGTTCATACGGCAGAAAGGATAGTTAAAAGATCAAGTAGATAATTAAATGTTCTTCTCAGCGCATATAACATTACTTTACATTAATCGATACCAAAAAACGTGTCCTTACACGTAAATTGAATGATATAGCAACAATTGATAATATAGCAAATTAAAATAAGATAACTGTGATACTTCATTTATTAACGCGATGACGCACCACCCAAGAGTTTCATCTTGAACGTTTTAAACGATTGCATCATATCATCGTTTTCATCCTCTTCCTCCTCCGTACTTTCGTCCTCCTCATCCTTTTTATCTCCTTTGTAAATGATCGTGTCCTTGTTTGTTATTTTACGCGTTAGAATGTCGCCCACCACCTTAATTTCGTAATTACACAAATTACCTTCAATTAGCCTAACGACCCGAAGATTATCAATACTACCAGTAAATTGTACGCGCGCAGACCAGCGCACGTTCTTATTAAACCCGCATTTATCGCCTTTCTCAAACACCTGCCAGTAACTCTCATTGTCTATAAAACTGCGCACAAATCGGCCGATAAATGTCTTTTTGCCCTCTTTGACCATAAAAACGTCCTTAAAAGGCCTAATCACGAATTTGATAGAGCCTGACATATATTCAATGTCATTCTGCAGATGAAAGAGCTTGTCAATGATAAAGGGCACGTGCAGCTGCATGTAGTTAGTCTTTACCTTCTCGTTAGGCACCTTGTAAAAAGTAGTCTTGCTGGCACCAAGCTCTATAATTTTGAATGGATCCTCTGTTAGCTCCTCGTTGGTGTATTTCTTGAACATTAATGTATTTGTGAGACAGAAGAACACGAAAATGAACCACTTCCTGGTCGTTAAGAAATTGTAGATGTATATGATGAGAATTTCCATGGGTAAACAAACAAATTTTTTATTTAAGGAAAACAAGGATGAAACACGGCTGTTGCCACAGTTTTCATTGATTTGGTACGATGTTTTGATTTTTGGTTGGATTGCGGTTTTGTACAGAAAATGAAAATATTGGTATGGCAATCAACAACTGCGGGTGATAAATGACTGTAGAAAATAAAGAACAAACAAAATTATGAACGAAAATATTGGTGTGGCAATCAACAACTGCGGGTGATAAATGACTGTATAAAATAAAGAACAAACAAAATTATGAACGAAAATATTGGAAGAATTACTTGAACGATGAGTGTAGTACCAGTGATATGACCATGAGATAACCAATCTATGTTATATATGTGGATATATTTTGCTTATGAATTGATAGGTGGTATTTTAAATAACGGTGATAAAAAAACAATTCCTTACACAAAGTGACGAATATTATTCCGATAAATGAAACGAATAATTTTGAAGTTATTAACGTGATTAATTAACGATTTAAAAAGAAAAGACTGCGATTACTGCACAAATAAACGAAATAAGTAATTTGAGATTAAGAATGTGACAAATAATCGTGTTAGAAAAGAAATACACGAATAAAACAGAACGTTGGCTTTTTACGGCGTAAATGCAAATAAAACGATAAAACATATTGAATCACACAAAAAGATTATATTATGGATCAATATATGTCTTTAAATAAATATAAATGATAATGAACATATAATGGAAAGAATACCTGTTTGATGAAACTTTTCTTGTTTGATAAGGTGTAGCTTGTCCTGATGTATATCACTAATAATAAACTGTGTAATAAACGTGATATGTAAAAATAGCAAATGTTTAATTTTCTGATAACCAATTAAATAAATTTTATAAAAACGGGTCTTTGTTCAGTCAAAAACACTTTACCAAACTTTTATATTCTCACGGTTCACTTTAACGAGTTATTGAATTTCAAGACAAATTTAAATCACGTATGCAAGCTGAATCAAACTTTTCCTACACGAGAACATTATGAGCAATTTACATTGGTTGTGAAATTGAGTTTAGTGCTCAACGTGCCATGAAAGTTCACTTAGATGAATCGAAGAGGCCGTATCGATCAATTAAAGAAACTTTAAGATTAAAAAATGATTTTAGGCATTTTTATAAGAAAACAAATTTGTACCGTGATATACGTCAGAAACCAGGAAAATTAACGAATAAAACACGCCGGTGCAATAAAACCTCGTACAGCGTGTCATTCCTAAAGTTCTTTTAATTTTTAACCTCATACTTGCTCAAAATCGCTTTCATAACTGGGTCACCCTTAAAACCGGATCTAGCCGACTTCAACGACCTCTTCATATGTCTGCAACGCTTGTCAACATTCTTCCTCTGCTTAGCTTTGTAACTCGCCGGTCGCTTCCATTTAGGCGCCGGATATGCACATGCTGAACATGTACGTTTCTGTTTGTTAAAACTTGTCTTACCGCATCGTATACAGAATGTATGGTTATGCTTGTTCTTCTTACCGAAGCTGCTCGTACCTTTCGTCATCCGACCAGGGTAAAAATTTTTATAAAGTTAAGAAATTCTGAAGGCACGTTCACGAAGAAAAACTGCCGATCTGTAATTTTATGCAAATTAACTACTCTTTCATCGTTTTATCTTTAAATGACCTCTATTAGTATCTTTTTCTGGTTATCTTGCCCGCAGTAGCAAGAATTGTAATTTCATTAAATACATCCGAACCTTTCGTACGCCAGGAATGCACTAAAAGTGATAATCGCGAGATCTCACTTGAAATAAGCGCTGAGTTTTGATCTATCGGTCGTGCTGTTAGAGTTCAAAAATCGAATATAAACGTTAACTATTTCTTGGTTGAGAACAAGAAAGTCCTTGAAATGCTCTGCTCTCATCGACTCTATCTTGCTCAGCAGCTCCTTATTTCTTTTCTCAAGCACCGTGTCTATCTGCATCATTTTTCGTTCTTTTAGTTCGTCCTTGTCATCGCGTAGAAACTTATCCAAAATGGTGCTTCGTGCCTTGAAAGCGCCGTCGATTTCGTCAGTGTACTTCGAGGGCGCACGCGAAACCACGTCTTTGAGAAAGTTAAGCACGTTTTCCTTCTTTTCAGTGTCTGCACCAATAGAGCTCGTATTTGTTAGTGTGAGTATTGGTTTGAGCATGATATTCGTCATTTTTTCTACAAAGACGCTTTTCTCAGATATCATCAGCGCTTTTGAAATGCTCAGGTACAGACCGGGCGTGAGAAACGTTGAACCAAGATTAAAAGACATTTTAAGTGCTTTCACTTCGTCTTGTTTCATTTGCTGCCCGAATACGAGCGTAAATTCGTTTTCCTCGCGCTGTTTGATTTTCACGATATTATCTGTTTCTACGACCGCCTTTTCGATGGTTTCTATCATTTGAAAATATTTCAAGTCTTTTTTATTCGCGTCTTTGATGCTGAGCAATTCACGAACGCTACTCTTTTTTGGATTGGAACTACTCGCAGAATTATCTTGGAGGAACGTTTCTAAGTCTTTCATTAATTTTTGATGTGCGGCATTGAACAAGTATTTTGCTATTTGCGACTGATCAAACTCAAAGTAACGGTTTCTTCTTTCTAGGCTTTTGTCTATTGCACTGAATTTACTCTTCACTTTTAAAGAAAAATTTGATGTCGCTTTTAGTATTTCCATAAGTGTTTCGTTTATGTTCGTACCGTTTCTATTTCTTTTGTCTTTTCTGCTCTTTTCGTTCTTCTCAAAGTTACTTTTTATATTTTGAATTTCCTTTGTTTCCAATTCCGTTTTTCTCTTGGTTATTTCCGGATCATCTTCGTCATTAACAAATTTACGGTCCTTGTTCTTCTCACCTATAAGGCTGGCTCCTCCCGCCTTTCCACTAAAGACATTAACCAAAAAGTATCTCATAGGTAGAACAACGTCCTGCACGAGCTCTTTGCACTCATTCTCATTCATCTGGTTTACCTCCATGAGAAATATAACGGTGTCTAAATCTATCATAGACTCGTAGTAAAGTCTTCTTTGTAAATCGTTTACAACATTGCTGGCGTGTATACATCCAAGTATGAATGAATAACCAATTAGATGCATTGGTAGGGCCCGTTCTCGCCATTTTATAACTTTGAAATGAAACATGTTTTATGGTTTTGATTATTACAGCACTGACTGAAGGACGGGCTGGATGAAACGCTACACCAAAACTAGAAAATGAAAATGCTGGCTAAATATCGGTTTATTAGTAAAAACATCGTTATATATATAATTATTATAACTAATATCAAGAATTAAGTGCATATGAGATACGTTGTGCAGTTTAGGATAACATATAATTTATGATAATATTGCATCTGCTACGTTTTCATTGAATCGTATTCAAATTAAAAAGTTTTTATCGCAGTAATAATTGAGTAAAACAAGCGGTTGTAAATGTAATAACTTACATATAGAATAGATGCAGGTCATCCACTTTTTGTAGTAATGTGATGTATAAAGTATCCTTTGGCAGAACAAAAGAACTTGAAATACAAAAATTTTCACTTATTTTGATTTTTAAAAATATAAAAATATTATTGTAACTTTTCATTTTTTTACAACAAAATGTAAAAATTGATTGTGCAATACCCTCGAAATAATTTTGCCAATAAATATATAATTGATACGCGATTTTGAGGTGTAGTAGCTCAGTGGTAGAGCTTTGGATTGCAGATCCAGCGGTCTCCGGTTCGAATCCGGGCTGCACCTTGGCTTTTTGTAACATTTGTCCCTACAATTTTAACAAGTTAAAGATAGAATATTTTTTATTTTTATCATTTTTTAATCTCAAAATACATATTTTCCACACAACACATTAGAATAAAAAAATTACCAAAAATCTTTGTATTTTCATGTGCTTAATCTTTCCAACCCACTTATATTTTAAGAGGCCATTTTGTTAAGGATTAAATACGTACTTTGTTCAACGATGTCATATTTAGCTGTCTATATTTGGTATACAAACAATCCGAAAATTTATATCACAATAACATCACAAATGAAATTTACCAAGATAATTGCCATTATCAAGACTTTTGTCTAAAATGTTTTAAAGCTATTCTTTGTCATTTAGACCTTGTAAAGATAAACAAATTAATCATCATTGAATTATTATTGTTATTCTATTAGAAAAAGAATCAGATGTGTTTAAATATAAAATAAAGATGCGAATTTAACAGATAAATTTTAACCAATATAAACTTACTCATTTTATAAAGAATTTTTTGGCTATTTAAATTATTGTTTTCCCAAATCATCTTTTTGTATTTTACATTTAACCTTTCTGTTAAAGATTGTTCATCATTTATAAAGAATCTCTTTTTTATATAACGATATGGTTTATATCAATGATATAGCG